TTTTAAAGACAAGAAAATGAAAATGTAATTAGGTCATTTTGACCTAATTTGATTTAATCCTCATTTTGATGTGATGGCTCACAAATATTGAGAGGATTGTTCTTAATTCTTTCTTCTGTGAAGCTCTACTGTAATTATATTACACTTTTTCTCCAGTATATCATCTCATAAAGCTGAATATGCTGTGAATGGATGGTTTTATGAAGTCATTGATAAAACGTCCTTCATAAAGCTGCAGGAAAGCAGAAACTGTACCTTGTCTGTGGATCATTCCTCCATGCATTATCCTGGCCACGATGCAGTGGTTGGAGTCATTCATCTTCAGGGTGATGCCCTGAGTGACACAAACAGCTCTTAGTTCAGTGACACACATCACAACGCTACACTGTCACAACTGTGGAAACACAATTATATTAATAAAACAATAAGCTGCAGACAGAAACTAAAAATACAGTTTTTTTCCATGGTTGGTAAACGCACCATAGCTAAGTRGCTAATTTACACTTTTGAAGCTTTTTACTGAGAGACTAAAACCTGAAGACAGTTTCATAAAGAGTTTGTCATGTGTTTAAAAATGATCAAAAGTTGTAAGAAGCAACTAAAGCAAAGTATTTTTATGGTGGTATATATGTTAGTGTGTAATCACAAGGTTATCATTTATAAATACTGTTTGTTAAACAGCTTCCATTGGAGCAACAGAGACTTCAGCAGCAGATAAAAAGACGATGAACAGATTATTGAAAAGTCACTTTGGCTGGGTCCAAAATGGTAGGCTGGGACCTCCAGAGGACCCAGCCTGCCCAGACTGCGTACCATTGGCTCCTCAGTGTTCTTCTGGAACTGGACCAGGCGTACTCTGGTGACATTCTCCAGGTCCATGTCTCCGTTGGCGCTCTCTGGTGAGTCTCCGTTCAGGTATGGTGAGGTAGGTGGAGGTGTCACTCGCAGAGCCTCATCACTGTAAACCTCGTGGGCGACCACATCGTGGGCCTGCAGCAGTGCCTGGGGTCAAAGTAAACCACAGAGGGTCTCAGGGAACATGAATATTTTATTTCAGACGCTGAACTATAAACACAGGAGAAAATAAGGGTAAAAATTGTATTTTAAATATCTTTGTTAAAGGTTCATCATATGACACACTGAAGGTTTTGAGTTGGAGCAATCTGAGTTTTATTTTAAATTGGCTGCAGTCAGAGCCTTTATTTTGGTACAGAAACATGGACAGCCTTTTACTTGTTTTCATTGATCCACTTGAACCCAAACCCCCCATAGAACCTGATTTTTTTGTCAACAAACCTGATGTCAAACACCAGTGTATGCCAYGTTAATCAGACGTTTCCCTTGTGAAGACGTTGGTTTACAAACTACTGTTTTTATGCTTGGGAATACAGACAGTAGCCTCTGTCTCAAAACACTGTARAATGGGACTTAAGGATTTATGAAAGAACCAAGGTGCATTAAAGGGTTAAAATCAACTCATTGTTATTTTTCTGAGTTGCCCAGAGAAGTAGTGACTGTTGCGTATAAAACTGCAAACCTGTGTTGTGGTTCAAGGATTTTTACATGGTGATGACAGTCTATATCATTGTTCCCTAACCTGTCCTTGAGGCCCACTTTACAGGTTAAAAACAGGCCCATCGTTGAAAGACAGTAATTATTCAATGTGTAATACTTTAGAAAACATTAAGATATAGATCATAATGTTTTACTTTATTAAACCCTAATGGTGAAATTCATTCTTTGCATTTGTCTCATCTCACACCTGAGCATACATGTAACAGAGGCTCTAATGGAAAAGGGGCGGAGCCTGGGGACCAGCTTTAGGGTTAATGGTGAAGTTAGTTGGCAAAAATGTGTCTCAGGGCAAGTTTTAAAGGGTTAAAGGCCTTGATCAAAGGCCTACAGTGGGATAAATAAGTGAAGGGAGATGTGGCTGTTTCATCTTTACCACCAAAATTTTCTGTGCTGGTCTGAGACGTTCAACAGGTGACCTTCTACCTGCTGATCACAAGCTTTTCTCTTTAACCTGTGCACTACTGCATGGAGCTGGAGTCAGTTCCTGTAACTACAGCTTATACCGTTCTGTTTGAAGAGTTTGAAGATGTTAATGTTTGAAGAGTTTGAAGATGTTAATGTTTGAAGAGTTTGAAGATATTAATGTTTGAAGAGTTTGAAGACATTAACATGTTTGAAGATCAAGATGGTCCTAGCCCTACATCCCCACTTACTGAACTAAGTGATGCCATTTGAAGCTGCATTTATAAACTTGGTGAGATGCTTTAACATCACCTGTTGGCGTGTCAGGATCATGCTTGGATTGGAACAGTGTGAATGAATCCTGATGCAGCCATGTTTGTTTTCAAAACCTTGACAAAAACTGACTCCTGGTTATGGCACAGACCGCTGATATCAAGATGTTGCTTTGCAGAAAAAAAAATTAAAACACTAATCTGTGTTGCTGAGGTATCACTCTGAAATGTGCTTAAATGTGGTAGATCTGGATACACTGGAGAACAGCTACAACTGTCAACAGGAAGACGTTTGAACTGGTGTAAATGTAAAGTCTGGTAGGTCTGACCTGACTCTCTCTGAATTTTCAGCTGAAGTACTGATTCTGATTCAGAGCTACGCTAAGTGCCACTGGTTTGTAGCCTCGATGTTTGACTTGAACCAGTAAATCTGGTCCTGCTGCAGAGAAGTCAGCTTCACTCCTCTGACAGTCACAGAGGCCTTCGAGTGTCACTTTAATAAACTGATTTGAAGTCATGAAATGACTATCAACCCTCAGTATAGAGGGAAACTCTACCATTTCTTTCCTTCTGCTTTACACACACACACACACACACACACACACACACACACACACACACACACACACACACACA